CTCGGGGCCAGCAGGGACCAGCAGCTCCCCCAAAATGAGCCCCTGGATGAGGTCGAGGCCACAGCACGGCCAGGAAGGAGCCACAGCTCTGCCCCCCTGTCCCCGTTACCGCTGCTCGCTGAAGCGGCTCAGATCCACCCGGGACACAGGAGCAGTGATGAGGTCCAGCACCTGCCCCAGCTCTGTCTGGTAGCCCGTCTGGAGGGGAGAGAAAGGATTTGTGGCCTCGTTACAGCCTCCCAGCATTTAAAGGGGCTGATAAAAGAGAGAGTGACTTTTTACATGGGCAGAAGAGACAGGATGAGGGGGGATGGTTTTAAACTCAAAGAGGAGAGACTTAGATGAAGTATTATGAAGAAATCCTTCCCTGTGTGGGTGGTGAGGCCCTGGCACAGGTTGCCCAGAGAAGCTGTGGCTGCCCCTGGATCCCTGGAAGGCCAGGCTGGAGCAACCTGGGATAGTGGAAGGTGTCCCTGGCCACGGCAGGGAGTTCGGAATGAGATGAGATTTAAGGTCCCTCCCAACCCAAAGCAATGAGTGATTCCATCCACTGATGCTTATGGATTTTTTGGATTTATTCCCCCCACAGCAAAGCCCCAACAGCACAGTGCAGACCCTGAGCCCTGTGGGGTCAGAAGGAAGGCTGCATGCCCGGCAGGACACCCAGGAACACTCTCAAGACCCACAAACCTCCATAAAGGGCCCAGGCCCCGGGAAATGCCACCAAGAGGGAGTTGGGAGCCAGGCTCACCTGCAGGAAGAGCTCCAGCAGGTGCAGGTAGTAGGGCTTGCCCCCGCAGTACTTCTTCAGCAGCCGGTACACCGAGGACTCCAGGAGGAAGGCGTCGTTGATGGCATCCAACCCGATCCCCTCCTGCACCAGGAGCGCAGGGAGAGGTGTCACAAAGCTCCTCTGACCCCCACAGGACCCCCCTCAGAGACATCAAGGGGCTCCTTAGGGCTCTCACCCTCTTGTACCAGCAGGGGTGCCCGCGGCGGGTCAGGGACTCGTCCATGATGTCGTCGGCCACCAGGAAAAAGGCTTGGAACTGCGGGAGGTCGGGTTAGGGGCGGGGCAGGGGGGTGCCCAGGGGGTGCCCTCCCGGGGGGTCCCGCCTCTCACCAGCTCGATGCACCAGCCCACGGCCAGGGCGCAGCGGAGGCTCTCGGGGTCCCGCTGCCCCGGCCCCGCCAGCTGCCGGAACGCGGCGACCACCGTCATCCCGCGGTTGCACTTCCCGCCGGGCACGTTGTACTCCAGCACCTGCGGGAGCGCAGGGACGCGGGCAGCGCTTGCCCGCAGCCCCCCGACCCTCCCCCCGTGCCCCCTGGTCCCGCGCCCGCCGCCCCCCAACCCTTGTCCATCACCCCCGACCCACCGCCCCCCGACCCCTTGCCCTGCCCGCAGCCCCCCGACCCTCTCCCGTTTCCCCCCCGACACTATCCCGTCTTCTCCCGACTCACCGCCCCCCGACCTTTGCCCTGCCCACCGCCCCTCAACCCTGGCCCGTCTCCCCCCGACCCTTGCTCGCTCCCTGACCCTTGCCCTGCCCACCGCCCCCCGTCCCTGTCCTGTCTTCCCCCGACCCACCGCACCCCGACCGGGTCCCCTCGACCTCGATCCCATCCCACCGCCCCCGGCCCCCCGGCCCCGACCCTCCGCCCCCCGGCCCTTGCCTTGCCCACCGCCCCCGCGACCCTGGCCCGTCACCCCCCGACCCTCCGCCCCTTGTCCTGCCCGCAGCCCCCGACCCTTGCCCGTCACCCCCGACCCGCCGTCCCCCGACTCCATCCCGTTGCCCCCCGACCCTCCCCGCCGCCCCTCGTCCCCGCGCTCACCTCCTTGAGCCTCGCCACGGCGTCCCCCACCTCCGGGTGGCCCAGCCCATCCTCCGTGAGGTCGCGGACGATCTGCGGGAAGAAGGCGGCGAACTCCTCTCTCTCGGCCGCCCCGGAGCCGCCGCTGCTGCCGGTGCCGTTCATGGTGCCCCGTGCGCGGACCCGCCGCCCGCGGACCCTCAGGCCCCGCTGGCCCCGCCCCCCCGCGTGGGGCACGCCGGGACTCGCAGTCCCGGTCCACGGGCGAGGCCGCTGGCGGGGCGGCCGCCGGGACTACAACTCCCGGCGTACCCCGCGCAGGGGGGCGGGGCCGGCGGGGCGGTCGCGGGGCGGTGCCCATTGGTCCGTTTCATCGTGTGAGGATGAGCCCAAGCGGGATGAGCCAATAGAAGCGCGGCGGGGGCGGGACGGACGCAGGTGATTGGTGGAGAGGGGGAATGGAGCGAGAGCCCGGCTGGAGTGCGGAGGCGGGAAGGAGCGGCGCCAATAGGCTGAGGGGCGTGGGTGATGGGTCGGTGGGCGGGGCTAAGGTGAAGGGCGGGGCTTCGTGGGCGGGGCCAGACAGGTACCTGGCAGGTGACAGGTGTGCGCTGGGGCTGGGGGGGGGGAGCTGGGGGTGTGGAGTGCCCTACAGGGATAGGGTGCGGCGCAGTTATGGGGTTCCATACAGGTGTGGCGTGCAGCACAGGTGTGGGGTTCCATACAGGTGTGGCGTGCAGCACAGGTGTGGTGTGCAGCACAGGTGTGGGGTGCAGTGCAGTTATGGGGTCCCATACAGGTATAGGGCGCAGTGCAGGTGTGGGGCGCTGTACAGGTATGGGGTGCCATGTAGTTGACACGTTCTGTGGGTGTGGGATGCCCTGCAGATGTGGAGGGTAGTGCAGGTATATAGGGTGCCATAGAGATGTGGGGTGCCATACAGGTATGTGGTGCCTTACAGGTGTGGGGTGCCGTGCATTTGGCACGTTCTGTGCGTGTGGGGAGCCGTGCAGATTTGGGGTACAGCACAGGTATGTCGTGCAGCACAGGTATGGGGTGCAGCAGAGGTGTGGGGTGCAGCACAGGTGTGGGGTGCAGCACAGGTGTGATGTACAGCACAGGTGCTGCAGGTGGAGCGCACCACCCACCTATGTGAGCGGGCGAGACCCCGAGTGCCGGGGGTGTCCAGCTCCCCACTGACCCCCGAGGGGACCCAGCAGGCGTGACCTGGGTGGGCACACGCAGTGGCCCCTTCCCCGGCCGCTGCTCGCAGCTCCTGCCCCGGCCTCCGCCCCGCAGATTGGCGTCCGCCCCGAATCCCCCCGAATCCCCTAATCCCAGCTCACCCGAGTTAATTAATCCCTCCGTGGCGCCCGCTAATCCCCCTCCCCGCCGCCGGGGGCGCGGGGGCTCGGGGCAGAGTCACCGGCCCCCCAGGGACAGGCGTCCTTGGGGACCTGGTACCGGGGGCGGGCAGGGGGGCTCTACCCTCAACCCCGCGGCTCTGCGGGGCCCCCACATTCCTGGGGCTCTGCCCTCACCCCCGGGGCGGGCAGCGGGGCTCTGCCCGCATCCTCAGGCTCTGTCCGTGCCCTCGGGGCTCTACCCTCATCCCCGAGGCTCTGCGGGGCTTCCGCACTTCCAGGGATCTGCCCTCACCCCCGAGGCTCTCTCCACATTCCTGGGGCTCTGCCCTCACCCCCGGGGCTCTGCCCTCACCCTGGGGCTCTGTCCGTACCCCCGGGGCTCTGTCGTGCCCTGGGACGCCGGTCCCTGCCCCGCCACCTCAGCCGATGGGGCGCGGGACACAGGCTGGATGGAATAGCACTGGAATAGGAACAGGACATGGGACGTTGGCTGGAGTTCATTCCCAAGGAATGCTCTTTCGGCCCTCGGCAGCCCCGCGGAGCGGCTCGGGGCCGGGCAGCCCCCGCGCCCCCTTAATCGGGCTGGCTGCGGGGTAATCTGAAATAATCAAATTAGAGAGAAACCGCTAATCAGCGCTGAGCTCATCGTCTGTCACGGAGCCTAATTGCTGGGGGGGCAGGGGGGTTGCCAGCAGTGCCCTGCGGGCAGGGGCTGCCCCGGGGATGCGGGGCTGCCATGGGGAGAGTCGGCTGGGCACGGGGGGTGGCACCTGTGTCCTGCCTGTGCCTGCGTCCTGCCTGCACCAGCATCCTGCCTGTACCCTGCCTGCCTCCTGCCTATGACTGTGTCCTGTGTGCACCCACATCCTGCCTGTGCCCTGCCTTCACTCCTGCCTGTGCTTGCCTGTGCCCTGACTGCACCTGGGCCTTGCCTGCCTCCTGCCTATGCCTGTGTCCTGCCTTCACCCTGCCTGTACCTGTGTTCTGCTTGCACCCTCATCCTGCCTACACTTGTGTCCTGCCTGCACCTGTGTCCTGCCTGCACTTTCGTCCTTCCTGAGCCCTGCCTGTACCTGCATCCTGCCTGTGTCTGTGTTCTGCCTGTGCCCTGCCTGAGTCCTGCCATGCTTGCCTCCTGCCTGCACCTCCATCCTGCCTGTGCCCGTGTCCTGCCTGTGCCCACGTCCTGCCTGCACCTGAGTTCTGCCTGCACCTACACCCTGCCTGTGTCCTACCTGCATCTGCACCCTATCTGCATTTGTGCCTTGCCTGCGTCCTGCCTGCACCCTGCCTGCCCTTGTGTGCTGCCTGTGTCCCTGTCCTGTCTGCCCCCACATCCTGCCTGCCCCTTGCCTGTGCCACGCTGGGGGTGCAGGCAGGGCACACCTGAGCCCCGCACCCCGTGCCAGGTGAGAGGCAGAGCAAACACGGGCAGGGCCGCGGCTCCCCGGCCCACCTTGCACTGTGTGACCTTCATTTAATCACGTTAATGCCTCGAGTCTGCTCTGCAATCAAACCTGCCCCTCCCCCCCCCGTTAATAAAGGGAAGGGAGATGGAAGGGGAAAATAACCAAAGATTAAACATTAATCTCCCCGGGGCCGAAAGTGATCGGGGTGGGCGGGAGGGGACCTGTAGCCTTTGGGCTCCTGCTGTGCCTCCCGGGTCTGTGGGGCCGGGGAGAGGCCCCTCGATGGGCTCCCGAGGGTGTCCTGGCTGCTCCCGGCTCTGCAGAGGGCCAGGATGTCCCTGTCCCATCCCATCCCCGGGCAGGGCGCTGGGGGACCACGGGCAGTGCAGAAAGAGGCTCCCCCAGACCAGCTCAGAATCTCTCTTTATTATTTAAATCCATTATGTACAACGACCAAAAAATAAAAAAACGCTTTTAAATCCTCTGCGATATGAAAACTACAAGCTCTGTACATGGACTGCCGCGAGTGCAAGAGTGGAGGGTCATGGTCTTTGGTGGCTAAACTCGCGCACGGCCGGCACCCCCCCGGCCCCTCCAGCCCCGCCTTGTGCCTCCCCACCGGGCTGAGGTGACGCGGGGCAGGGGCCGCGGTGACAGAAGCACAGGGTGGCTCTGGCTGCCAGCACGGGGAGGGTGCACCAAAGGCTCGGCCGGTGGGAGTGGAGCCGCTCCCGGTGCCATCCGGGCCGGCCCGTGTGCTCTGCAGGGACACCAGGATGACCACTAAGACATCGACATCACGCAGTGTGGACACAGCCCGGGGACGCTGGACATGCGGCCCAGCTGCAGACCCCTGCCCGAGGGGCTGTCCGGGGGACACCGACCGCGGGGGTGGAGTGGGGACGTGGGGGTGGGCGGGGAAGGGGAGTTGAAGTCCATGGAAAGAAGGCAGTGCTGGACATCCCCTCTTGGCAGACGCTGCCGGGATTCCTGGTGGGCTCCCGGAGCAGCGCTGCGCTCCGGGCTGCTCCCGACATCCCAAAACACGAGGGGGGAGAACTGAAGACCTCACTTCGGTAAAGTAGCACAGGGAACACGACCTCACCCGCTGTGCCGGGGGTCCGGCGGGCCCCGCCCAGCGGCAGCCGAGCCCCAGAGCACCACACAAGCCATGGCTCCTGACTCCGGGAGTGGGAAGCAGCTCGCGCAGCGTGGCGGGGTCGGAGGGGACACTACTCTAACCAGGACTGAACACGGTTTGGCCCAAAGCGACACTGTAAGCAGAGCTCGGCTGCTCGGCAGAGCCACGACTCGAACACACATTGCAGACTATTGGCTCTGGAGGGGCGGCGTGGGGTGGCTGTGGGGACCCCGAGGAGGGGGTGACCCCGCAGCCCCGCCTGTCCCCCGGACACTGCCCGGGGTTGGCATCTCTTGGCGACAGCCTTTCATTCGCTGCGGTGCTGGTGACTGACATCTCCAGGCAGCCTGGAAACGGGACCGCAGGGCAGGGCACGGGGAGCAGAGCCCGGGCTGAGCATCCTCCTGGAGCCACAGAGGGGTCTCCCCCAGACCGACCCTCTGAAAATCCTACTGGAGCCACAGGCAGTGGGGGTCCCCAGCGTGACCCTCTGAGCATCCTCCTGGAGCCACAGGCTGTGGGGTCCTCCCAGGCTGCCCCCGTGCCAGGGTCCAGGCCACAGTGCCCAGGTGTGGTGCAGAGCCCTGTTTGGCAGCACATCCCAACCTTGCAGGGACTCAGCACCTCTGAGGAAAGATGCTCCCCCAAGCCGGGGAGAGGGATTGGGGGGTCTGCTCAGTGGAGACCCCTCTGCCCCCAGCTTTGCTGCTTGGCACTCGTCACACCAGGGGAGCCCTGCCCAGGACCCCCAGCTCCTGGCACCCATCCTGCCCAGGACCCCCAGCTCCTGGCACCCACCCCCAAGTGTTGGGGAAGGGGGACCTGGCCCCTGCTGGCCCTGGCGCCCCATATTCTGCCTGCCCGGGGAGCCCCTGCCGTGGTCTCCATCCCCCTCCGGCCACCCCGGCAGGGGACCCGGGGGGCTGCCTCTCCCTCCTCCCCCATAAAGCAAAGCAGAGCTCTCTGGGGATCGAGGTGGGCGTGAGGTGGCCGCTGCTGTGACAGAGGACAAGCTGGAGGAGCCGCCAGCGCCAGCCCCGCCCCGAGGACAGGCCCTGGGATGCGCGGGCAGAGCGTGGGGGGCCCGGCCCCCAAGGGCAGTTGTGGGGAGCTGAGCTCCCCAGAGAGGCCAGAGCTGGGGCGAGGGCTCTGTCCTGTCCTGTGCCTCCAGGACGAGGGCAGGACTCAGGACAGATGGCGATGAACGAGGAGGGGAGAGCCCGGGCAGGGTCCCCCCTCGGGGCAGTCAGCAGAGCCCCCTCCTCACCCAGCTGGGCCAGCTCCGGGGCTGCCCCGTGCCCACCCCTGCTGCGCCCCCGTGCCCGAAACAGCCCTTCCAAGGCCGCGGGTGCTGCCTCTCACCTCACCTTCCCCGCGGCACGGCGGGGCTGGTGCTCGGCTGCTCCTGTCGCCGGGGTGCCCGGGTCCCTCCTGCCTGCGCTCGGTGCCGCCGGGACTCACATGTTGGACGGGAGTTTGGGCTTCCCCGTTTCCACCTCGGGGCTGAAGGCCACGGAACCCTTGCGGGAGGGACCTGCTGCCTGCCTGGACGTGGAGACCGGGGACTGCGGGGTGGAGGCTCCCGGCGCGGAGCGGGCGGGCTGAGCCAGCGATCCTGAAGGCATCTGCTGCGGGTGTGAGGGCTGGGCCGGGACTCCCGGACACGGCTTGGCGAGGAGTCCGGCCACCGAGGGAGAGGACCTGCGGGCCAGGTTCCCCGCGGATTTCCTGCCCTGCTTCAAGGAGCTCCCCTCGGCTTGCTGGGCCACTTTGTTGGGGAGGGAGGGCTGGGAGGCAGAGAGCAGCCGGACATCCTGGGTGAGCCGCCCCACCGGCAGGCCCTGGATGCTCCTGTGCTTCACCAGCTGCTGGGGCTGCATCAGGAGGGAGATGTGGGAGCCGGTGGCTCGGGACAGGCTGTAGTGGAGCGTTCTCCCCGGCGGCAGCGCCTGCTCCGAGCTGGGGGACGCCGCCCCCGCCGCCTGCTGCAGCAGCGAGGTGGAGACCGAGGCGCCGCGGGACCTGGAGAGCTGGGGCTGGGGACCACCCGGGGGCTGCTTGGCCCCCCCCGGCATCTCCCCCCTCTGCGCTGCTCGTGGCAGGGGCTGCGCCCCATGGCTTGGTCTCTGGGCCCCGCTCTCCAGCGGCGCCTGGGACTGGACCATGGGGGAGGAGGGCGAGCCGGCAGCGGGCGTTTGGAGGTGGGACTGCGCCCCGGACGGCGAGCTCACGGAGGAGGGCCGGGAGCCGCCCAGGCTGGGCTGGGACCGGCGCACGGGCTTGGTGAGCAGGGTGGTCTCGGGCGAGAGGGGGCTGGAGATGGAGGAGGGCGGCAGGAAGATGTGGGCCTGCAGGCTGTGCTGGTGGGTCAGGGCGATGGCCACGTTGGTGGTGGCGGCCGCCGTCTGCAGGGGCGCGTGAACCAGCGGCTCCCAGATCACCGGCTTCCCGCTCAGCTCCCGGCCCATCGCCATCTGCTGCAGGTCCTGGATGTTGTGGGCCATGTCCTGGTCGTGCTTCACGATCTGCTGGATCATCTCGGTGTTCATGGGCCCCGAGCTGTGCTCGGCTCGCTTGCGGAGCAAGATGGAGTTCTTCTTCCCTGGGTGGAGGGCAGGAGTGTCACCAACCCAGCTCTCGGGGACACTGTGGAGGGCAGGGTGGCAGCAGGGAAGGGACAGTAAAGACCAGTGTGCCAGGGGAAGCAAGACCCTGAGGAGGGTCTGGGCTGGGGCAGAGGAAGCAGCAGGGACAAAACACGGGAGTCCTGGCTCCAAAGGCTCCAGGATGGGGGCTGGGGTCCTGCTTGTCCTCTGCAGGTGAGGAGGGGAGAGGACAAGCAGCTGACCAGCACCAGACAGTGCAAGTGTGAGGGGGTGACGGTTTCCCTGGGAAACCTGTCCTATAGCACTGCCTTGGAGGACAGAGGGATCCTGGAGGAAGGCTCCTTGGCTGTGCTCCCCCTCATCCTCCTTGCTGGCACCGTGGGCTGGGTGTTGTGATCCACAGGGTCTGTGATACCATCGCCTGTAGGGCCGGGGTGCCGTGGCCCCTGGGAGCGGGCACAGAGGGGTCAGTCACTCCTCACCTATGCGGTCCAGGCGGTCCATGGCCACCGTCTCGAAGGCCCTGCGCATCATGGGGTACTCCTCCAGCACCTCGTTGAAGTTGTCCACGGACAGGGAGTAGAGGCGGCAGTAGGTGTCGGCCCTCACGCTGGCCGTGCGCCTGCCCCGGGTCAGCAGGCAGATCTCTGCAGGGAGACAGGGCTGGGGGTCAGGGCGATGCTGCCATCCATCCCTTTCCCAGCAGGCAGAGTGGGAACAGGACTGCCTGGCACCCCAACACCCTGCACAGAGTGCAGCACGGCTCGGGAGGAGGGACAGACCCCAGAGCCTGGACAGGCACAGCCACACCCATGGCCAGGAATGGCCTTTTCCTCCCTCCCCAGATCACGTAGACCCAGGCCTGGCTGCTGTGATGGCCTGGCCTGTTTTCCTCTCAGACTTGTGCCTGTAACCTATAAACTGTCTCAGATGTTCTGATTTAAACACCCTCTCCTCCCTGGTGGTGGGGTGGTGGATGCCTGCTCTGCCCCAGACCTCAGCACTGCAGTTGCCCCTCTGGTCCCATCTGCTGAGCAAGGTACCCCAGGAGAGCATGGGGGCATCCTTCTGTGCCCCAGAGCCTGGGGTGAGGTGGATGCCAAGCTTTTGGCACCAGGCAAAGGGGATGGGGGGGCAGAAACATCAGGGGTGCCCCAGTTTCTTCCCCCTTGGCAACTCTCACCCCCCTCTGCTCTCCAGTCCCCCCAGCTCAGCCTCACCCCCGAAGTAGGAGCCATCAGACAGCTTTGTCTCCTTGTTGCCCTTGGTGAGGATGCTGACCACCCCGTGCTGGATGAAGTACATCTTCTTGCCCACGGTGCCCTCGCGGATGATGAAGTCCCCGGGCTGGAAGACCTCGAAGCGCAGCTTGGTCAGCATGGCAGTCACAAAGTTGGGGTCGGCGTTGGCAAACAGGGGCATGTTGGCCACCAGGTTGCGGCAGTTGAAGTTGATGATCTCCTGTGGGGTGAGGAGCAGGGATGTCACCCAGCCTGGCCCCAGCAAGCACCAGCCCCTCTCCCCCGGGGTCGCCCATTTCAAGGTGCCTGCCCCCACCTCTTTGAGGGGCTCACTGAGCTCCCCCAGGATGTTCTCCTCGTCAAACATCTTGCCCTGGTAGCGGTGCTCGTAGTACTCGTGGATCCGCTGGCGCGTGTCCCCGGGCAGCTTGTGGAAGGACATGTACTGCTCCACTTGCTTGTACTGTGGGGACAAGGGGAACACACAGGGATGAGTTGGGACCCACTGCATGGCCAGACAATGCATCCACTCTCCTTGGTGGTGAGAAGTGAGGGCTCACCCCTGCTCCAGGGCCCCATCCCAAAAGGCCACCTCTGGGACAGAATGCAGGGGGTCCCAGGGGTTCCCAGGGCAGAGACCAGCATGGGGGTCTCACTGCATCAGGGTGAACCCCAGCAGGATGAACGGGGTGTCTCTATCCCAACGGGCAGCCTGAGGTCCCTCCCCACACCCCCAGGGTGAGTGGCAGGGGCAGAGACCCCTCTCTGTGGAATCAGCAGGGTGAGGCAGCTGTGCTGAGCTGGCTCTGGAGCCGGACCTGCTCATGCCAGGGCTCTCCCCCCAGTGCTCCCCTGACCCCGCTGACCTTCTCCTGGTACTGGCGGCGGGAGGAGTCCAGGGACTGGATGAGGGCGGTGGCGTGGCCGATGAACATGGCGTAGCAGGTGGCCCCCACGATCATGCTGAGCATGGTGAGCCAGACGTCGGTCATGCCCTCGGGCGCCTGCTGCCCGTAGCCGATGCAGAGCATGTGGCTCATGGCCTTGAACAGGGCGTGCGAGTACTGCTTCCCCCACGAGTCGTTCTGCAGGCGAGGGACAGCGGCGCTGGGGGGGCTGTTGGAAGGAGCTGAGGGGCTGAACCCCCCCCAGTCCCCCTTCTTTAAGCTGGGAGTTCTCACAGGAGTTCAGAACTCCGGTGAGAAAAGTGTTGCTGATGTGTCCAAGCCTAAAGGGTCGAGCTCTGCTCCAGGAGGTGGCACTGGGATGGTGCGAAGCCCTGAGGTGGCACCAGCTCCCGCTCTGGGGAGGAGGCAGGAGGCCCACTGCCCTATCCACTCCCTGAGGGATTCCCTCAATCCAGCAAGGTGGGCCGAGATAGGAAGTTGAGGCAAAGATTCCCTGTGCCCCATCTCACTGCTGTGACCAGAGAGATGCTGCTCAGCAGCACGTAGTTCCAGGCAGCTCCAGCCTTGGAGCAGGAGATGTGTAACCAAATCCTCTCCCTCCTGTGGCAGATCCGGTCTGGAATCACCCCTGCCCGGGCACTCACCACCATGTGGTTCTTGGAGACCCAGCAGTCCTCGGGGAAGTCCTGCAGCATGGGCACCAGGAACTGGAGGCAGCCATCCCAGTGGCACAGCAGCAGCATCATGCCAATGAGGTTGAAGATCCTCACCACGGCGCTGGCCAGGTCGTACGTCATGTGGAAGATCTGGGGGACAGGCAGGAGTGAAGCTGCAGAGAAACTCTTCTCCTAGAACGGTCCTTGGAGCCTCTCTGCCCTCCAGCCAGACCATACCACACAGCCAGGGCCCCCCAGACTGGCCTGAGACCCCAACCAGGGGACCCCCGAGGGGTTCTCACCTCCTCCCACTGGTGGATGTAGCGGATGAGGCGCGAGAGGCGCAGCAGGCGCAGGAGGCTCAGGATCTTGGTGAAGCGGACGATGCGCAGGGCCCGCGCTGTCTTGTAGACATCAGAATCCACCTGGGTCTCCAGGTCGACGATGAGGAAGATGTAGTCGACAGGGATGGAGGAAACGAAGTCGACCAGGAACCAGCTCTTCAAGTACTTCATTTTGATGGTGTGGGGGTCGAGGATGATCTCCGTGTTGTCCTCCACCACGATGCCTGTCCGGAAGTTCAGCACCAGGTCAGCCAAGAAGAAAGTGTCCGAGAGCACGTTGAAAACGATCCAGGGAGGGGTGTTCTCGTCCTTGAAGAAGGTGATGCCCACGGGCAGGATGATCAAGTTCCCCACCATCAGGAGCAGCATGATGAGGTCCCAGTAAAACCTGCAGGGTGGGGATGTGGGGGACGGAGCGGGGCAGGGATGGAGCAGGGAGAGGCAGGACACAGGCGGGGTTAGACAGCAAAACCAGGCTCAAAGTTGGAGTCCAGCAGAGCATGGAGAGGCCGGTGCTGAGGACACACGTGCCTGCCCACACACATGACTAAGACCCTGCTACTTGGCTGGGACAGATGTGAGTAAAGGTGTGTGGAGAGGAGCGATTCGGCACCGGGCCGGGGGCCCAGGGGGAAAATGTCACCTCCCGTGTGTGTGGGAGTGGGGGGCTCGAGGGGCTTGGCTGTCACTCTCATCTCCTAGTGGCATGACAGTGCATGCACACGTGTGCCCCCAGCCCAAACTTGATGCGTGCCCTGTGGAGAACTCAGGGAGAATGTGGGCTTTGCTCCTTGGAGCTCCCGGAGCTCCCTGTCATCTGCCAGCTCCCCGCCACCACCCGGGATGGCTTAGCAGGATTTGGGATAAGCTTTGCTGGTTATGCAAACTGAGCCAAGCTCCTGGGGCGGCCGAGGGACTCGAGGAGGCTGTCAGGGTGAGCCAGGCCACAGCCAGGCAAGGATAGACAACGCCAATACCAGGGGAAGGTGGGAGGAATGTCTGTCTCCAAAGGAGCTGCCAGTGCACACCGGGCAGGAGCTGCACAGCCCTGGGCCTGCAGCACCCCTCATCCACCTCCTTTTGCTGAGACTGGATGAGCTCAGAGGCTTTGGAGGAAAAGCCAAGAGATTCCAAGAGCAGCTGGTTATGTCAGGACATCCAGCATCCCCGTTCATATGCAAATGCCCCTGGGATGTTTTCATTCTTCAGGCAGACACATAACAGCCTTCCTCCACCAGGCTCGTGATTCCTGGGATCCCAGCTCAGAGCCTTCCCAGGTCCCTGGGAAAGCAAGGCCAGTTCCCACTTTCAGGTGCCCCCATTAGCCCCAGCCCTGGCTGTGGGTATAGACCTGAATCTCCAAAGGTGACCTCAGGACAACTCAGTGCTGGTGGATCCAAACCAGCCTTGGCAGGTGATGGAAGTCTCTGGGTGTTTCCCACCCTGCACCCGCACTGGGACACAGGTACCAGGATCTCTGCAGGTGAGGGAAGGGAAAGTCGTGGTGCCACAAGACACTCCTTCAGTAAGAGAGCACCAAAAGCTGGCAAGGGAGCGGGGGACACCCCAGGGCTGGGAGCCACCCACGGGTCAGGAGAGACCCCAGGGCCAGGAGTCACCCCAAGGTCAGGAGCCACCCCAGGGCCAGGAGCAACCCCAGGGTTGAGGAGCCCACCCAAGGTCAGGAGCCGCCCCAGGATCAGGAGCCTCTCACAAATTAACACCTTCTTGCCATGTCCAGGGTTTGCTGGGTCAGCTGAGGAGACACCCGCTGAGGCAGGAGGGGTTGAGCAATTGCCTCCTCACCTCCACACTCTGCCCCAAGAAACACCACATCCTGAGCAGGGAAACTGTCCCCACGGTGTCCGAACCTGCCCAGAGCTCTCGAGTCAGATTTAGGCTTAAGCTCTTTAGGACAGGCCCTGTCCTTCACTCGGTGTCAGGCCGAGCGCTCGGGGCCCTGATCTCCACGGCCTTTGTGTATCCCCATAATGTGATAAACACCGGTGTAATCCCCCCAGCTGTCCACCTGCCAGCTCCCCTCACGGCTCCGCTTGCACAAGCAGCTCCTGGTCAAGCTCAGGCTCGCAAACTTTGGGATGGCTTCCCCGGGAAAAGGGCTCTCGGGGCTGGCAGCCCTGGGTGTTGTGCTGGGGCGGTGTGGCCGAGGCCCAGCGATGAGGGGAGATGGCTACAGGTGCCGTGGACCCGTGGTGGGTGCCAGCCCCACTCCGAGGTGCCCCCCAGGCTGGGGACATCAGCCGTGTCACAGCCTGCTGCGGGGAGATGACTGCCTGGCAGCTTCATCCCCCGTGGAGAAAGCCCACCCTATATGACTCAACATCCCCGTGACACCCGGTTCCTCCCACATCATCCATCCCCGAGCTCCCGCGGTGATCCCGGTGACACCGTGAGCCAGGCCCGGCTCCTCGCAGAGTGCCCAGCCCTGCTCAGCCGCGGGGTTTCATGTCCTGGGGGGGCGGCGGCTGCTCAACCGAATTAAAAACAGCACCGAGAAGGGCGGGGGGAGCTGTCGGGGGCGAGGCACAGCCGGGCAGCCCCTGCGTCCGCCTCCGCACGCCCGGGGCCGGGTCAGCGGAGCTCCCGGCCTCGGCGGGGCTGTTGCTGCCCCCGGGGTACCGGGAACGCACACGGGGGGAAATGAGGCAAAACAGAGTTGTCTGTGCGGGTGGGATAACCGGGGACGGGGAAAGGGCTGGGACAGCGCGGCCCGGGGCTCCGGGGATGTGCAGCCGCCTTCGCGGAGGGGTGCGGAGCCCCGGCCCCCGGCACTTGTTGCCCCGACGGCGGCGGGGCCACGCTCAGCACCACGGACAGCGGCGGGCACCGGGCGGGGCGGCGGAGCCGGAGCGGGCACCGGGGCGCGGGGGGTTCGGCGCCGGTGCCGCTGCCGGTGGCGGGGGCTCGCGGTGCCCGGCCCGGGGGTCCCCACCTGAAGTCGCTGTAGGGGTGGATGATCCAGGTGCCCGCCGACTTCACCCGCTGCCGCTCGATCTCCACGGCCCGGTGGCTGCCGAACATGCGCAGCGAGAACTTGTTCACGGCGGGCTGCAGCATCGCCCCGAGCTGCCGCTGCACGAACGTGCCGCCCGCCGCCGCCGCCGCCGCCTCGCCCTCCGCCACGATCTGCTCCGCCGCCGCCGCCGCCGGCGAGGCCGGGGCCGCGCCCGCCGCCCCCGCGGGCGCCCCCGCCGCCTCCCCGTCCGGCACCGGTGGCTTCTCCCGCGGCTCGGGGCTCCTCCGCCGCGGCGCTGCCGCCTCCATCCCGCCGCCGCCGCCGCCGCCGCCGCGCCTCACGTTTCCTTCAAACGCCCTTGCCCGGGCGCCCTGCCCGCCGCCCCGCCGCACATGCCCGGCCCCGGGGCGGGCGGGCGGGCGCTCCGCTGGCCGCCCGCGGCCGCTCGGTCACACCGGGGTGGGTTTGTCGCTCCGCCGGGAGCCCGCCTGTTGCGCGCGGCGCGGGCGCGGGCGCGGCGGCCGCCGCTGGCAGCGCGGGGAGGCGCCGGCGGCGGCGGCAGCACCGGGAGCGGCGGTAGCACCGGGAGCGGCGAGGCCCGGGCGGCACCACCGGGAGCGGCGGCGGCGCCGGGACCCCGCGGCGGGCGGGGCGGGGCGGGGCCGGAGGGAAGGGCTTCGCAGGGAAGACCACGCCCGCTCGGGAGTAGCCCCGCCCCGTCACAGGCTGATGAGCCCAGGAGGGGCGTGGCTTCGGTGAAATGGGCGGGGCCACAGTCACAATACCCAAACATGGTGAGCGATGGGGGTGGTTTGGGAGAGACGGGCGGGGACACTCGGTACAGGCCACGCCCCCCTGGCCTTACTCCACCAGGGGGCGGGGCTTGAGTGGCGGAGCGAACCACTCTAGTCCCCGCCCCTCATGTCTAACCCGAGTAGGACGGGGCGGGGCTCCGGGAGACGGTGGGCGGGGAAATTCCGCCCCTCTGATATAATCCCGTCCCGCCACCGTCAGAGGGACGGGGCGTGGCTTCGGGTGAGAAGTGGGCGTGTCAATCCGCTCTAACCCCGCCAAAAGGACGCGAGAGGGGGCGTGGCTTCTACTCTAGGCCGCGCCCCTATCGCGTGTAACTCCTCCCCCGCGCGGCCCCGCCCGGCGTGACGCATCCTCCCCCTTTCCCCTCCCGCGCGCGCGCGCGCGCGCCTTCGGGTACGTGCGCGCGCCCCCGTGCGTTGCGTTGCGTTGCGTTGCGTGCGCGGCCCCGCGGGCGGCAGGACCCGGATCGGCGGCGGCGGCGGGAGGAGGAGGAGGAGCTGGAGCGGGGCCCGCGGGGCCCTCGGCCGCCATCACGGATTTCCTGTGGGACAAGCGCACCGGGCTGGCTGCGAGGACGGTGAGTGACGCGCGGCGGGCGGTGCGGGGTGGGGCGGGTAGGCCGCGGGCGGGGAGGGCCCGGTCCACGGCGGGTCCCCGGTGGGGCGGGGGCACACACGATGTGGGTGTTTCTGAGGGGGGCGGCGGGTCCCGATGGCCCGTCGCCCGTCGCTGCCGGTGTCCCGGTGCTTCCGGCCCCGCACGGGGGAGGCCCCGCCCGCCGCCGCCATCATCGCGCCCAGACCGGCCCCGGTGCTCGTCCCGCCGGCACCGGCCTCGGCGCTCCCCGCGATCGGCGAGGAAGCGGCGAGGCCTCCGGGGGGATCGGGAGCCGCCCCGCAGAGCCCTGGGGGTCCCGAGCCCCTTCCCCCCGGGTCAGCCCAGCCCCGGCCGGTTGTGCCTGTCCGAGCCAGGCCGGTGATGTCAGCGCGGGGCGGGGGCGGGGAGGTGGCCGGGGGGGTGTTTTGTGGGAACTCTGTGGGCAAAGGGAGCTCGGGCTCCTCTCCCGGCCCTGGCACGGGTTATTCCGTGGATGCCCCATCCCTGGAAGCGTCCAAGGCCAGCTCAGAGCAAACCCGCCTGGTGCAAGGTGTCCCCTGCCCGTGGAAGGGGGTGGGACTGGGCGAGCTTTGAGGGCCCTCCCAGCCCTTTAACATTCCATGATTCCCTGATTCGTGCCTGCGGAGCCGAGGCAGGTGGAGCTGCTCTTGCTTGGGGAGCTGAAATACGTGTGGGGAATGTGTGAGAGCTGGAGCTGGAGCTGTGCCATCCCCCCCCGGGGGTCTCCTTGGCTCTGACCTCTCGTGGTCCCCCAGAGGGGCAGAGCCGGGGGTTTGCAGGGCTCTGTTAATGTGCACTGGGAAGGGTGGGTTTGCTCCTGGGCACTTCCCACAGGCACAGGGAATTGTACCATGGAATACCCTGAGCTGGAAGGGGATCATCCAAATCCAACTCCCGGTCCTGCGCAGACACCCCAACAATCCCACCCTGTCCCTCAGAGCATTCTCCAAATGCCCCTTGAGCTCTGACAGCCTTGGGGACGTGCCCACTGCCCTGGGGAGCCTGGTCAGTGCCCAGCCACCCTCTGGGGGAAGAATTTTCCTAATATCCAACCTGACCCTGCCCTGACACAGCTCCAGCTGCTTCCCCAGGTCCTGTCCCTGCTCACACAGAGCAGAGGTCGGAGCTGCAGCCCCCTGAGGTCTCCCCTCAGCTGCTCCTCATGTGGCCCCTCCAGACTCTTCCCTGCCCTCGTGTCCCCCCAGGTGTGGATGTCACTTCCTTGGCACCAAACCAGGGGCATCTCCTGGGGAGTTGCCCCCGTGGGTGTTCCCGTTACTGCTGCACAGGGACTTTGGTGACATCCAGGGCTTCATTTCACCTTCCTCAGGGGTGGTTCCCTCCTCCCTGGGGAGCACAGGAGCTTAAGGGGAGAAGGTGGAAGCCCTGGAGGTGCAAATACTCCTCCTGGAGCTGTGGACTTTACAGATGGGTGCAAACAGGGGGAAGTAACCTGGAAAAGATTTGATTAATACGCAGAACTAGTTCCAGTCTTCTCGTGCCACTCAGGTGTCATATAGCACTTGGCAGCATTGACAAAATGGTTTGGTTTTTTTTTCTTTTTGGCTTCTGAGACATGTAAAAGTCAAAATAAAAATTATAGGAGGATTTATTGAAATAGATATTTCAATTAGATCTTAAAAAAAACCCCAAAACTTTTATTTTCTACGTAACTGGGAGAGAGTTGTTTTCCCATGACTGAACCTCTCCCATACACAGCAAGCACAGCTCCTCTGGGGGGTCCCATCTTGTTTTAGGGGGCTCTGGGATCTCTGAAAAGTTCTTCTCCCCCAGGGGGATCCCTGGGAGTGGGGTCAAGGATCCATGGGCCTTGATCCAGTCCTGTTCCTGGGGGGAAAACATGGAAAAATGGGAAAAGATGGTGTCAGGGAGCCAGGGGAAACTGGGATCCTCCTCCAGGATTCATCCCCAACACATGGATGTGACACTGGTGCTGCTTCAGGGCCTCAATGCCAACCTGAATGTGGGGGAAAAAACACAGGAAAAATGGGAAAATCCACAGAAACAGGGTCAGGGAAAAGGTCAGGAATAGGAGATCTATCCTCATTCTGAAACGTGGTTAATAGGGAGGGATATGGGTGTTTCCCAAGTGCCACTTCAGGATCTTGATCCAGTCCTGCTTCTGGGGGAAAAACAGGAATGTGGGAATGGGATGGGGAATAGGAGCAGGGAAGAGGGGGAGTCCCAGGGCAACATCCTGGATAAATGGGAAAAATAAAGGCAAAGTTGGGGATAAAATCCATCCTGATCCCTAAAAATAGTTACAGGGAAATAAGGATGTGGATGTGCTGCTTCAAGGCCTTGATCCCAATCTGATTCTCAGGGACAATGGGAGGAACAGGAGCAGGAGTCCCTGGGAATGAAGCAGGATCCCTGGGAATGGGAGTCATCCATGCCCAGCAGATGGATGTGGGATTTGGGGGGATTTGAAGGGGTTTGGGATGATTTGGGGCAATGTAGGAATTTCAGGGCGTCAGGGTTGATTTCAGAGGGATTTTGGGGGGATTTTTGGGTGGTTCAGAGGAATTTGGGGGTGCCAGGGTTGGTTTTGGGGTGATTTTGGTCACTCACATTCTTGTCCCCCTCTGTCCTGCACGTCTGCACCGACAGTGACTCCGCTTCGCTCTCAGACTGATTCCCCTGCGTGTTCAGGGTGTTGTGGGGAGAAAAGGGGGGTCAGGGACCTCAAAATACACCTGGGGGACCCCAAAATCCCCCGGAGACTCCAAAGAGCACTCTCAGAACTCTGGACACTCGGGTGTGCTGTGTTGTGGTCCCTGCTGAACCGGTCCCTGTCCCACGCAGCAGCTCCTGCTGTCCCCAGAGGTGCTTGGCGGGGTCCCCGCTGTCCCTGGGTGCCTGACGGGGGTCCCCGCTGTCCCCACAGATGCCTCACTCCCGAAGGTACCGCTCGTCGGAGCGCAGCAGCCGCGGGAGTTACCACGAGCGCTACCGGAGCCGCAAGCACAAGCGGCGGCGGACGCGGTCGCGGTCGAGCAGCAGCGAGCGGGACCGGCGGCACCGGAGGGAGGACAGCTACCACGTCCGATCCCGGAGGTGAGCCAGGCTCGAATCTGCCCTCCTTCGCCGCGGTTGGGTTGGGGGGGACCGCTGGAGATCACCCAGGCCAACCCCCTTCCAAGGCGGGGTCACCCGGAGCACAGAGAAACCCAGCCGGGTGGGTTTGGGATGTCTCCAGAAAGGGAGACTCCGTGCCCTCCCTGGGCAGCTCTTCCAGCCTTGTTCTTCACAGAAACACAGAACATTCTGAGCCACAAGGACCATCAAGTCCAGCTCTTAAGTGAATGGCTCACACTGGGGTTGAACCCACAACCTTGGCACTGTTAACACCAACTGGGTTAATCTCATGGTTCTTCCTCATGTTGAGGTGGACCTTCTTGTGGTTTAGTTTATGGCCATTGCTCCTCATGCTGTCACTGGGCACCTCTGAACACCCTGGCACCATCCTGACACGTGCCTTGGAGATATTTATATGCATTGATGAGATCCTCTCTTCTCCAGACTAACCAGGCCCAGCTCCCACAGTCTCTCCTCATTAGAGGGATGCTCCAGTCCCTTCATCATCTTTGTTTCTCCAGCTGGGCCTGGTCAGCCATGGTCACCCAGCTCCTGTGTGACCTGGGCCCTGCTCTGAGCATTCTAGGCCATGCTCGTGACCAAACCCCCTCATCTTGCTCCCCTCTTAGGGAAACCATCCAGGAGCCACTCCAGCAATCCCACTCCACCACCTGAGCTGGGACTGAGGCCCTTTTGCAGTGGCAGCTCCCTGTACCCCCCACACTCCCAGTCAGACCACTTTCCTCACCAGCTCAGCCCCAGGTTTCCCATAGCTGAGTCCCAGACCTCTGGAGCCTTGAAATAATCTTGGTGCAGTAACAAAATAACAGCTGGAGCTGGTGCCTCTGGGGAGGGACCCCAAACAAAGGACCCCCAGGGCTTCTTTTATCCCCTCAGAGTCTCAGTGCAGGAAAGTGTGGGGGTCATCAACTCCTGCACGTCTATGAGTGTCCCTCACCTGGCTGGGACACAGTTCCCTGTGCCCTTTGTTATGCCATGGGTTGGGAGTTCAGAGCCTCTTGCCTCCTGGGGTTCCAGCCCCCAGAACTCCCACTGCTGCTGCCCCCCGAGCTGCTGTCACTGAGTGTATGGAAGGAGGAGATTCTCCCCCTCTGCTCTGCTCTGGTGAGACATCTGGAACACTGCATACAGTGTTCCCAACATCAGAAGGACATGGAACTGTTGGAGCAAGTCCAGAGGAGACCATAAAGTTGATAAGGGGGACTGGAGCCCCTCCCCTCTGGAGACAGGCTGGGAGAGCTAGGAATGTTCAGCTGGAGAAGAGAAGGTTGTGTGGAGACCTCAGAGCACCTTCCAATATCTGAAGGGACTACAGGGAAACCAGAGAGGGACTGTTCCTCAGGAGCTGGAGTGACAGGACAAGGGGAACGGGTACAAATGGAAAGAGGGGAAGAAATTTTTTACTTTGAGGGTAGCGAGGTACTGGAACGGGGGGGCCGTGGCTGCCCCATCCCTGGAAGTGTTCAAAGCCAGGCTGGATAAAACCACGAGCGACCCGCAGGGGGTTGGGGTTGGATGATCCTCGAGGTCCCTCCCAACCCAATCCTCGGCCGTGTCTCTCCTTCAGCTACGACGACCACTCGGCAGACCGGCGGGCCTACGACCGGCGTTACTGTGACAGCTACCGGCGCAACGACTACAGCCGCGAGCGGGGCGGGGACGGCTACTACGAGCCCGAGTACCGCCACTCCTACGAGTACCGGCGCTCCCGGGACCGCGAGGGCAGCTACCGCAGCTGCAAAAGCAGCCGGCGTAAGCACAGGCGGAGGCGGCGCCGCAGCCGGTCCTTTAGCCGCTCCTCATCGGTGAGTATCCTGCTCTCGCTGGGCCTGCCCTGTAAACCTTTCTCTCTCCCAGGTGCCGAGCTGGGTAAGTAGAAAACTCACTTTCTAAACGCTCTCTCGGACTCGGCTTGAACTCTGTGTGTGTGTGTGCGTGTGTGTGTGCAGGAGGAAAGTTTTCGGTGCAGAGCGTTCCTGCCCGCACGTCCCGCTGCGCCGGCTGGGCACGGGGGGCTCAGACCCTCTCTCTTAGTGTTGCCCGCTCAGGTGGGAGGACAGATGTGTCCCTGGGGTGTGTCCCTGGGGTGGTGCTGCAGCTCCTCCCGTTTGGTGACGCTCATGGAGAGCTGTATAGGAGCCCCAGCCAGGCAGGATTTGTGCGAGGCTCAAACAGCCGACGCTCAGCTGGTCCCAGTCCCAGAGAGCCTGTGACAGGTGGCTTGTCCCCGTGGTCACTGGTTTGGGCTGTGGCAGGAAGCCCCTGGCTCTGATTCTCCAGAGCAGATCCTCCTGGGTGGGCTCAGCTGACGTGGGGTGTCGTGTGAGGGGCTTTGCGGAGGAGCAGAGCTTTCGGACCACTCAGCTCAGGTGGAGGCAGCGACCATCCCAGGCTCTTCCTGGCAGTGTCCCTGGCTTTCTCTTCTCGTCTGTTCTGCTGTTCACTTCTGTTAGACCCCAGACACGGTCTCTGCTCTGTGTGTGGAGCTCTCAGTGTTGTCTGGTCTGTTCTGACTGTGTGTCCAGGGAGGGGATTGGGGGCTGGATTCGGGTCCCAAGTCTGCTGGGCCGCTTGCTCCCAGGTGTGGGGATACTTAGCTGAGGAACTGAAGGCAGGAATTTTCTCTTCTCTGGCATAAACCTCTTATCTGCCTCATCCCAGGCTGTCCCTGTTCCCTGTTGGGCTCTGCTTCTCTCCTGGAAGTTAGTCCTTCCAGGATCAGCTTCTTCGGGGGAGGGTCTGAGAAGAGGTGTCCGTCTTTCCCCAGGCAGTCACTGTAAACTCTCGGTTTTGGATGGATTGTTGTTACCTAGAGCTGCTTCTGGAATCTCTGAATTCCTCTTTCCGAGTGTCGGGGCTGGGGGAAGCTGTGTGGGCGGTTGTTGGAGTGGGATGGGGGTGCCTGTGAGGGCAGCCTGGGCTTGTGCAGGACCTCTGGGCACCTGCCTCCCACTGCCCTTCCTCCTTGGTGGCCGTGGGGCTGCCGGGAGCCCCCTCCCTGTGGCCTCTGGCATGTTTAGGGGGTCCCCAGGACCCGAAGGCTGGTGCTATTCCTCTCTGAGCCCCCGTGGGAGCGAGAGCAGCCGGCCCCTTCCGTGCCCCCTCGGCTCCCACACTGACAGCTCTGCTCTCACACTGGTTCGGGTGGGGCTGTTTGTAGGTTCTTTTTTTTCTTATTTTTTTTTTTATTTTTATTTTTTTTTACTTTTTTTTCCTTACTTTTTTTTTTTTCCTTTTTTGCTACAACGAAAAGCGAAACTGTTTTTTTTTTTCTTTTCTGAGCTAGTGTGTTGTATCTTGACATGTTCCCTTGCAATATCCCTATCGTTATATATTCCTCTGTGCCGTATGAATTGGCTGGGAATCTCCTCCTGCAACCCCTCCTCAAACAACCATGTGAATTTCCAAACCAACCAATGCGTGACGCTGGCTGCTGCGCTGGTTTGAAAATCTGATTGGTGAATGATGAATTCCCTGTCTGCCTGGGCCAGCAGCGGAGTCGACAGAGCAGCAGAAGGGCCAAGAGTGTGGAGGACGACGACGAGGGGCATCTGATCTATCGCGTCGGCGACTGGCTACAAGAAAGATGTACAGCCAAATCGTAACATAATTTAGCTCTCTAGTTAAGCTCCCATCGCAGTCGCAGATCTGTCTTATCTTTCTGTTTCATTTTATTTTCATTGTTTATTAAAGAGAAACCCTCTCCTTTTCCTTCCCCTTTTGTTAAAAGCTACGTTTATATTGTGTATTGTTACTGAAGTGCCAGGGAATTAGGGCAGCTGCCTTGTGCAGCCGGTGTCAGCCTTCCGCTGCTCCGGTCTCTCCAGCTGTGTGCAGGTTAGGTGTTGCAATGCATTCTCCTCTGCCCTGTGTATCGCTGCAGCCAGGTGCTGCTCCCTCTCTCAGCTCCTTCCCTCTCCTTCTCTCCCTCCCAGATGAGATTATCAGCACGCTGGGGGAAGGCACGTTCGGCAGGGTGGTGCAGTGCATGGATCACCGGAGGTACGTGGGGAGAGGGGAGACCGCAGCTGGCAGTGGAGCCTTTCGGGCATAATGTGGGAGCCTGGGGGTGAAAACTAATCTGTTGGCTTCCAATGTCCTCTGCTGGTCTGGGCACTCGCCCTCTTGGGTCACCTGTGTGCCGGGAGAGGCTTTGGGGCTGTTTGTGGGGAGGGAAAAGGCACAGCTTTGGTGGACACCCCTTAAAAACAGCCACCTGCTCGAGCAAGGGTGGTGGAGGCTGTGCTGCACGGGGGAGGCTGGTCAGAAGGTCCCTTTCATAGGACACAGCCCTTTTGACCTCCTCAGGGCTCACTCTGTGCTTTCTCTCTCAGGGGTGGTGCACGTGTTGCTCTCAAAATCATTAAAAACGTAGAGAAATACAAAGAGGCTGCTCGGCTGGAAATCAACGTGCTGGAGAAAATCAACGAGAAGGATCCCGAGAACACAAAGTGAGTGTGCTCCTGGTGTTGGACTGGAAGGGCCGGTTCCAGGGGTGGGATGGAAGAGGTTCTTGGTGCTGTGTGGCTGAATGTGATCCTGGCTAGTGTTGGAGGCATCTTGCCTTGCCGTGGGGTACAGACTGAGCAGCGGAAGGAGGAGCCTGGCGCAGGGATGGCATTGCAGAGCTGGTCCCAACTGGAATGTTTCTGTCAGTCTCTGTGTCAGGATGTTTGACTGGTTTGACTACCATGGCCACATGTGCATCTCCTTTGAGCTGCTGGGGCTCAGCACCTTTGACTTCCTGAAGGACAACAACTACCTGCCTTACCCCATCCACCAAGTACGGCACATGGCCTTCCAGGTGTGCCAGGCTGTGAAGTGTAAGTGCTCCCTGCTCCTCTCCCTGCTGCACTGGGCTGACCTGGAGAGCTGTGCAGCTCCCAGGGACCGGGACACTCGTGCAACTGGTGGCCCAGAGCAAGCGAGTTTTTGCTGTTCTTCTGAGCCTGAGCCTTCCTGCCCCTCTGGGAGTGAATCCTGTTTGTTTTCCAAGGCTTGGGGGCTGGCAGTAGCTTAGGGCACTCCAGCATCCACCCCCCTCACCTTCTGGTGATCAATACAATAAGTCTTTGTGCTTCTGATGAAGCATCTTGGCCTGGGCCAGCCTGTTCACACCCAGTGCTAAATGTGGGCTAAAGTGGTGCCAGTATGAGCAAACTGAAGCAATGATGGCTTTTTGTGGCTGCAGCCTTGCTCTGCTCCTGTCCCATCACCCCGACTCTCTTTGCTTCCCCAGTTCTGCACGACAATAAACTCACCCACACCGACCTCAAGCCGGAGAACATCCTCTTTGTGAACTCGGACTATGAGCTCTCCTACAACCTGGAAAAGGTAACACACTGCCTGGGGTCAGGTCTGCTCTTGGGTTCTTGGTGTCCCTGACTGGGAGGGGAGCTGGGACGTGCCCCAGGTGACAGGGGCTCCCTCAGGGCCTGTGTCTTGCACGAGCTGCCTGTGTTCAGGCAGTGAGAAGTGAGCCATGGGGACCCCAGGTGTTGCTGGCTGGCGGTGGGAGTTTGTTTGGGGCTGAGCTGTGGGGCCCCCAAAGCTTTCCCCTCCCGTGGTGTGTAAGGAAAGGCCCTGAGTACCTGTCTGGGAGCTCCTGGGTCACGGATCCCGTTGTTGCCTGTGCAGAAGCGGGACGAGCGGAGCGTGAAGAGCACGGCCATCAGGGTGGTGGACTTTGGCAGTGCCACGTTTGACCACGAGCACCACAGCACCATTGTCTCCACCAGGCACTACCGGGCCCCTGAAGTCATCCTGGGTAGGTCCCTGCCGAGGCAGGTGTGTCCCTCGAGGTGCTGCTCGCTGGGCTGGGGAGTGCTGGGCCTCCACATCGTTCAGGAGCTGTCCCGGCTTTGCCCTGGGAGATGGGAAGTGTTTGTTTAAGAGCTCTCCAGTGCTGTTTTCTGGGAAGGCCATCATTATAGCCATGTCATTATTCTGGGGTTGTTCAGCCTGGAGAAAAGGGGGCTCAGGGGGATCCTTCTCACTCTCCACAACTCCCTGACAGGAGGGGGGAGCCGGGGGGGGTCTGGCTCTGCTCCCAGGGAACAAGGGACAGGATGAGAGGAAACAGCCTCAAGCTGTGCCAGGGGAGGTTCGGGCTGGACATCAGGAAGAATTTCTTCACAAAAAATGTTGTCAGACCTTGGAAGAGGCTGCCCAGGGAGGTGGTGGAGTCACCATCCCTGGGGGTGTTCAGAAACTGGATGTGGCACTCAGTGCTCTGGGCTGGGTGACAAAATGGTGATGGGTCAAAGGTTGGACTTGATGATCTTGGAGGTCTTTTCCAACCTTAATGATTCCATGATTATCAGTTGGTGTTTTGGCACTGCAGTGCATTGCCAGCAGGGCACCAGGGGCTTGGCTGGAATGGGAACTGTTTTTCCAGCTGTTTGTTTTTTAAAGGGAGAGGGATTTGAAATCCTGTACCATAACTGGATCATTTATTTAAACAACATTGTTTTTCAGAGCTTGGCTGGAGCCAGCCCTGTGATGTGTGGAGCATTGGCTGCATCATCTTTGAGTATTATGTGGGTTTCACCCTGTTCCAGGTGAGAACTCCGGGTGGTGTGGCTACTTCCCAACTGGTGAGAGAGGATTCTGGCTGATTCCCAGCACAGCCCAGAGCCCCTGGGGCTGATGGGGGTCTCTCCATCACTGCTGTCCTGGAGAAGTGTTGGCCAGGAAGGGGTTTCGGGTGGGGGGAATAGCCAGGGCTGGAGGCAGAACCACTGGAATCTGTTCCATGCCTTCCCTTTACATTTCTCTCTCTCAGACACACGACAACCGGGAGCACCTGGCCATGATGGAGAGGATCCTGGGGCCAATTCCTTCTCGGATGGTCAGGAAGACGAGGTGAGCAAGGGCCCTGCAGGTGTTGCAGCCTCCCTGAGGGATCCCACTTTGGAGGGGGAATTCCCTGGGTCCCCTGGCCGTGCTGGTGCCCCGAGCCGTGTGCCCTGCCAGGGCTGGCACGCTGCTGTTGCTGCAGGGTGTGTTGTGCTCAGGTGTAACCTGTTCCCACCTGTTACTCCGACAGGAAACAGAAGTATTTCTACCACGGGCGCCTGGACTGGGACGAGAACACCTCGGCCGGACGCTACGTCCGGGAGAACTGCAAACCCCTGCGGGTAAGGAGGGTGGGCAGCAGCCCCTCCTCAGTGCAGAGATTCTCCCTCTGGGCAAGCGCAGGGCAGCAAAAGGCTCAGACTGGTGTCTTCCTGAGAGAACCTTGGAATAAACTAGGAAGCCTGAGTTTAATCTGAAGTGGAAGAGGAGGAGGGCATGGAGAGTTCAGGAAGTGGGGAAGGGCACGGATGGGTGAAGGGCAGTTCTGTCGTGGATAGAGGAGCCCAGAGTTGAGGTCTGGGCTGAGGGATGGCCCCAGCTTAGCCCAGGGGATGTCCCAGGCCGTTCCTGACCTGTCCCCTCCGCCCCCCAGCGCTACCTGACGTCGGAGGCCGAGGACCACCACCGCCTGTTCGACCTCATCGAGAGCATGCTGGAGTACGAGCCGTCCAAGCGGGTCACCCTGGCCGAGGCCCTCAAACACCCCTTCTTCGACCTGCTGGGCATGGAGCCCAGCACAAAACTGTGGGACTCGAGCCGGGACATCAGCCGGTGACGCCGCCGGTGCCAGCCAGCCTTTGCATTCTAGCCCCCGTGGAGGCCCCCCGTGACTTCTTATCCAGACACTTGGTGCTTTTTTTTTTTCTTTTTTTTTTTATATATATACATGAGAAGAACTCCCCTTTGTAAAGCTGTTAATATGTGAGATACTGTAAATAGCCCTGTCGGCCTCGGGGCAGCGTGGGCCTGACCTGCTGTTCCATGAGGTGAGGGGGGGCCTGTGTGTCCATGCTGTAAATACCTCTCTCGTCAAAGTGTTGCTTTGTCTCCTGTTCCTGCCCTCCCTCGGTGTAAATACTCCGGGACTCGCAGCTCTCTGTAGCTTATCTGTTCCCTTGTAAGTTATGGAACTGGTGGGACTGCATGGGAATTATTTTTTGGATCAATGTCATAGCCCATCCCCACACCAGAGTTTTATAAGAATTTTGTACAGTCTTTGTGACAAATAAATATGAAGTGAATAAAAAGCCACTGAGCTGGGTTTGGCACCGGCAGCAGCTGCTCCTGGGATGAAAGCAGATGCTGACAGGGATGAAAGGAACTTTGTGATCTAGGAAACCAGCTCTGTCTACCTGCACCACTCCTCCCAAGCCTGCAGGGGCTCAGAGCTGCTCTTGGCCCTCAGGGCTGCAGCTGGACCTGGGCAGATGCTGGTTGTGGGGTCAAGCTGCCCCTTTCCTCATGCCCTGGGGTCAGTGTTGGGGTGGGAAGCAGAAAAAGGACAGTGGGGCCCTCAGACAGGTGTTCTCTCACCTGAAGAGCCCTCTCGACCCTGGCTGGGGTGGAGCACTGGCTGCTGGTGGTGGCTGTTGGAAAAGGGGTGTCAGGAGCCCACGTGGGTCCAACACCCACCCCAGGGCTGTCTGTGCCTTCTGGGCTCCTCTCAGCTCTGCAGTGTGGCTTGGACTGTTCCCTGGGAATTGCTGGGGCTGTTCCAGAGGTGGGAGCTCACCTGTGGTGTTCGTGTGTCACTCTCAAGGCTGTTCAGAGGCTGAAGAGTATGTTCAGCAGAGTCTCTGCTGAGCACTGAGGATGGAGGGGATGCTGAGGAATCCCTGCTGGGGAGGGGGGTCGCTGTGCCGTCCGCAGGCAGCTGGAGCCCGTGGAATCGGGGATTCCTATAAATAACCGGCCCAGGAGACACAGGAGAAATTCCCCAAGTGCTCCTCGTGCCGCGGGTCCCTCCCAGGCTGTCGGAGCCCACCCGGCCGGCTCGGGGGGCTCAGCGACAGCTGCTCCACTGCTGGGGGGGACATAGTCTGCAGCCGGGGTGGGGGGGTCGGAGGTGAGGCCTCGGAGAGGGCAGGTTGGGGACCTGGAACCCTGGGGGTACACGGGAGCGCCGGTGAGGGGATGGAGGGGGTCCCGTCCCTGTCGCCGTTGTCGCGGGAGTCGCGTGGGAAAAGGGGGGGGAGGCGGGGACACCGGGAGCCGAGGGGCGATGGGACGATGGGTGTCGGCCCAGGGACACCTGAGGGTGGATGCGGGGGGTGAGGGGGGGTGGCATGTGCGAGTCGGGGGGTTTGGGAGGTTTTGGGAGGTTTTGGGATGCGCCTCACGTGACCCCGGGGGGGGGGAACACACACACAGACACGTGGCCGCGCGTCACGTGCGCGGCCCCGCCCGGCGCGTGCGCAGTGGCTCCCTGCGGCGCGGGGCGGGGAGCTCCCCGATGACGTCACTGCGCGGCGCGGGCCAATCGGCGCGCGGCAGGGGGGCGTGGCTTGAGGCGGCGGCGGCGGCGCCGCTCCCGCGGGTCCCGCGCGCGCTCCCGGTCCCGGTTCCCCGTCCCCGGTCCCCGGTCCCGCCATGGCCCAGCGCGGCGGCGGCGGCCCCGCCGTGCTCCCGGACGACAACCCCTTCCAGGACCCCGCGGCGCTGCAGCCGCGTCCCGGAGCCGCGCTGGACGGGTACAACCCCTTCGAGAGCGACGCGGTGAGCGCTCGGGAGGACCGGGGCCTGCCCGGGGCCTTTCCGGTGGACCGAGGCCATTCTCGGGGACCGGAGCTCTTTCCCGGAGCCTCACCGCTCCCCTCTCCCCCCGCAGCCTCCGCCGCCGTTCCAGACGCCGTCGGTGGCCCCGCCGCCCCCGGTCCCGGCGGCCGCGCAGCCCCCGCGGAAGGCGAGTCCCACCGAGCCCCGCAACTACGGCTCCTACGGCTCGCAGGTACGGGGGGAGGCGCCGCCGGGCCGGGGGCACCCGGGGGGCGGCGGCGGGAGCCCAGGGTCTGTGTCCCCCCCTGCCCAGGCCTCGGCCGCCGCCGCCACGGCGGAGCTGCTGAAGCGGCAGGAGGAGCTGAACCGGAAAGCGGAGGAGCTGGACCGGCGGGAGCGGGAGCTGCAGAACGCGGCCCTCGGCGGGTCACAGAGTGAGTGTGGCCGCGGGGCTAGGGAGGGGCGGCCGCCCCCTCGGAGCCGTCCCCCCTCCTCACCCCCTTCCCTCCGCAGCGAGGCTCAACAACTGGCCCCCGCTGCCGTCCTTCTGCCCCGTGAAGCCCTGCTTCTACCAGGACATCCCTGTCGAGATCCCTGCTGACTTCCAGAAGACCGTTACCACCATGTACTACCTCTGGATGGGTGAGTGCAGCCCGGGAATCTCGGGACAGACCCAGGGAGGGAGCAGGGGAATGAGTGTCCTGTGCTGTTGCTCTGGGGAAAATTGGGATGAGCGGGTGGTGCCTGGTCTGGGGTGGGGTGGGGTGAGCCCCACAGGCTCCTGAGCGCTGTCCTGTCCCTCAGCCAGCACCATTACCCTCTTCCTGAACTTCCTGTCCTCGCTGGCCTGGTTCTGCGTGGATCCCTCGTCCGGGTCCGGGTTTGGCCTCTCCATCCTCTGGGCTCTGCTCTACACGCCCTGTTCCTTTGTCTGCTGGTACCGGCCCATGTACAAAGCTTTCAGGTGTGTGCCCGAGCTGGGGGTACCTGCTGCAGCTCCCTGGGGCCTCTGGCTCTGCGGGATGTGGTGTTTCCACGCTGTCCCCCTGCTCTAAGGAATTTTTAAGAGCTCTTTTCCTGCAGCCTAACTTTGCCTGTCTCTTCCTCTCAGGAGCGACAGTTCCTTCAACTTCTTTGTCTTCTTCTTCGTGTTCTTTGCCCAGAATGTGATGTACGTGCTGCAGGCCATTGGCATCCCAAACTGGGGATTCAGGTGAGCTGTGTGCTGACCCCAGGCTGGCCCAGGACCCTGGCACGGCGGGAGGAGGGTGGGGAAGAGGGAACTCTGGGGGCAGTAACAGGCTCTTGTTTTTGCAGTGGCTGGATCCTGAGCCTGATAGCGCTGCGGACGAACACGGCTGTGGCGGTGATGATGATCCTGGTGGCCTTGTCCTTCACGGCAGTGGCTGTGCTGGGCATCATTATGCTGAAAAAGGTGCGTTGGGACACTTCTTCCCATAGCCACACTTGACCTGAAGCGAGTGCCAGGGAGGCTGAATTTGGGTGGCTTTCGTCTTCCTCTACAGCCCCTGACAGTGCTGCACTTGTTTGCGTGGTTCAGATCTCTGAGACCACTGCAATAAAAGCAAGAGGAAATGGGCAAGCAGAATGAAAAAACAAACCAAAAATGTGTAAACATAGGTGTTTGCGAGCTCAGTTAGGGAAGACATAGAGCTAATCACTTAACAAGAGTTTTGGAAAGGTGATTGAAACAAAGGGCGGTTTTGTTTTTAGAACAGAGATAAAGTAGATAAAGTAATAGCCTTTGAAGAGAGCAAGTAGTGTCTTTGGAGAGAGAAAGTAGTGTCTTTGGAGAGAGCAAGTAGTGTCTTTGGAGAGATAAAGTACTATATTTAGAGAGATAAAGTAGCATCTTTGAAGAAATAAAGTAGTATCTTCGAAGAAATAAAGTAGTATCTTCAAAGATGCTACTTTAGAGAGAAAGTAGTATCTCTAAAGGCATAAAGTAATACCTTTAAAAGGAAAAAGGGGTAGCCTTTGTGGGGGGGGGGGTGGCAGGTTTGGGGTGTCCCTGGAGCCCCACCCTGACCCCCTGACCCTTCCAGATCCACTCCCTGTACCGCCGGACGGGCGCCAGCTTCCAGAAGGCCCAGGAGGAGTTCGCGGCCGGGGTGTTCTCCAACCAGGCCGTGCGCACGGCCGCGGCCAACGCCGCCGCCGGCGCCGCCACCAGCGCCTTCCGCGCGCCGTAGCCGGGCGGGCGCCGGCCCTGCCTCCCCGGCACGCGCGGGGGCTCTTCCCGGGGAAGAGGAGAATCCGAGTTGCACTTTCGGTGGATCCCCCGCGCCCGCATCGGCTGTCAGAGGCTGCCTCATCCCGGCTTGGAAGTGCTGGTGCCTGAATCGTCTGCTGCTCGAACCCCCGTTCCCTCACGGACAGAGGCTGTTTCTGGTTCGCGCTGGTCCCTCTCCCCCTCAGCGGACTGGGGGGAGCGGGGTGGGTGGTGCCGAGGCCGAGCCCTGCGCCTGCCATCGCCCTCCCTTCCAGCACGAGCCTCCTCCGGATGTGTGACAGGGACTGGAACTGCCGCTCGCCTTCCCTGGGCCCTCCTGTGTCCCTGCCTGGTGGTGACACCTGTGTGCCCTGGGGCGTGGAGGGCCCCTCGTTGTGTCCAGTCCTGAGGCTCTTCCCTTTGCCTGCCTTTCCCTGTGATACGGGACCCCCGTGCTCTGCCAAGAACATCATCCCCCTCTTCCCCCCAGGGCTTGCTCCGGTGGGATGGGGCCGGTGCTGTCCCCAGGGTGTCCTGTCCCTTTTGTCCTGTCCCTTTCCCCGTCCTTTCCCTCTCTCCAGGCTGAGGAGAGCAGGGCTGGGACAGGCAGTACTCGGGCAAATGCTGCTGGTGGGGCTCCTGCCTTTAGCCCAGGTGCCCCTTGTGGACCCCAAAACCAGGCTGGGTGCTGAGGAGCGGCCCTGGTGTTACTGTGGCTCCAGGGAGGGGTGAACAGCTCCCCCCACCCTCCTCCTCACCCACCCCAGGGACTGTGACCCCTCGTTCCCCCCAGCAGCCTTCACCCAAGGCCTTCACCCTCCTCGGGGGCTGAGCCAGTGCCTGTGTTCCCCTTACCTGCCCTCTGTCCCCGGGGTTCCCCGGGACAGGTCTCATGCATTCTGCTTCGCCCCATCTCCTCTCGGACGCTCCCGGTTTGTCCCTGCAGCTCCGGGGCTGGCGAGAGGCTTCGTGCCTTCAGCTCTGGGGGCCGGTGCCCGCGGCTCGGCCCCGTCCTGCTGTGCTGGGGGGTCCCGTGGGGGTCCCCGCCCCCCCTGCTGCCCCCCGTGTGCTGCCCCCGACCGCCTCCGGGTTTATTTAAGGAATAAATGAAGTTCCACTCTGTGCCTCCGCCGCCTCGGTGCGCTGACCGGGGGGGGCGGGAGCGGCGGGGCCGGGGCCGGTGTCGCAGCTCCCGGCGGTGGCGGTGCGGGGGTGGGGGGGACACGAACTACAGCTCCCGTCGTGCCGCGCAGGGGCGGCCCCGGGGGCGGGCGCGGTCGAGCAGCAGCCGGA